CACAATATTGCCTTCCATTCCAGAGATGAGTGGGAAGGTGCCAAGTGGAAAAGGAGGCAAAAATAAGTATCTATACGGATGCACTAGCCAGAACAGGCCCAACCCTACAACTATATTCCGATAATGAGGGTATATACATATATGCTTCTAGTTACTTGTAGATATTTATTCGACAAACATCTCATAAACATAGCTGAATCTCAGTGGAATCATTTCCTAACTTGCTCAACAAGCAGGAAAACGTGGCATGAATGGAAAATGCGCCGCACATGCCGACTTTTAAAATTCAAATTAACTGATATAAGAACTCTAGTAGGCGTACTAACAAGCCACTAACTAATGAGCAGACATGCCAGTAGACTTTGAACGCCATATAACGACTATTGTATAAGCTATCAGGAGGTAGAAGAGGTGGAGACCATTCAACATCTTCTTTGTGATTGTAAGGATCTCTATAGGAAAAGAACAGCAGCCATCGGTCGAGGGTTTCTTGACGACGTCTCTGATGTTGCACAGATAAAGCTTGTTGTACTCATTAGGTTCATCAGAAGTACGGGGTGGTTCAGAGATGAAGCAGTAGAGTGAGAGGACTTGGTTCCGGTAGTGTCACTAAAGGCCTAGGTGCGTCGAAAGACAACCACTCTATCTACGTACCTATAACTAAGTCACATACAAAACTTAGGTTTGTCAACCAAACTGAAAACAACGTCAAAAGCCAGAAATTTTACAACAAATACGTGCCGAAAGGGTTGCATATATTAATCGATACGAAAAATAGGCAGTGGGAGTAGCATTTTTCAATTAGGTAAAATCCCATAACTCAGCACCTACTGTAACTCCGTATCTTACAGGCTGAATTGGATACACCCACCCCTACTTCACATACAAGTATAACATAATTTCTAACTCCATGGGATTATTTGACTTTATAATACAGTACACTCCGCATATAAAAAAATTTCGAAAATGTCACTTAATTGTTTCTTTTATCTGGTTTTTCTAATAAGCGGGGTCATTATATAAGAAACTTTTCTTATAAGAGTTTACCTTATATAAGAAACATATTTCTTATAAGCATACACTGAATCTGATAACATTTTGGCTTATGATAAGTAGAAAACAATTCGATGGTTTATGTTAAACAAAACAAATACAGTTTTATTATTACACTTGAACTTTTGCATAAAATAAAAAAATAAATAAAAATTAACAAAATATTAAATTTTTTTCAAAATCAACGCATTCAAAGGGTAATTTATTTTTAAGCCAAGTAATTGGAAGCTTCAAATTGATTGGGAAGTTACAAATAGTTAATTTTTTTTGAACAAGTGATTTGTCTCGTTCATTAAAGAGAATTTGCTCAATGTTTATTATGTTATCATTGTCATTGCTTCAGTATAAACAAGGCATGCAGCGCTTCTTCTCTGCTAGGCTGCATGGCACTATCTGCAGAGTTTTCTTCAATTTCATCTTCCTGTATTTCATTTATTATATCATCGTCGTTTGCAGCTCCGAAACAGTTCTCTTTTTCTAAATCAACTATGTTTTTAAAAAAAGTTTCGTAGTCTACAGTCTCGCAAACATCATCTGAAGCAAAGCCATCGGTTTCACAGTATACTTGTACATCACTTGAATTAATATCATCTAATGAGTCTGCCACATGGATTCCATCGTGAATTCCCGCCTTTTTTAAAAAAAAAATTTTGAATTGTTTGTGGAGTGACAAGCCACCATGTGCGTTTGATGATATACAAAGCCCTCAAAATAGAGATGCTTTTTAAAAATTTAGCCATTATTCCGCCCTCTGCAGCTAAAATTTGTTCGCGGACTAGGCACTTTCTGTAATGTGATTTGAAGGACTGGATAATTCCTGTAACATATAAAAAAAGAAAAAAATTATTTGGTATGAACTAAAATTGGCAAATATAACATACCTTGGTCCAAAGGTTGAATTAAACTTGTAGTACAAGGTGGCATAAATACAATTTCAATGCTTTTTGGTTCAAAATCTAATTTGTGGCATGAAGCATTATCAATTAAGAGTAATATCTTTTTACTGGTCATCCACGCTTTTTTATTAAATTTGTACGGGATAGGAATGATCTTTCCCCTAAAACATCTTGGGTTCTTATATTTGCCGATTGCATACACATATTTGTTTGTACCAATACAGTTGGTTATAAAAAGCAATGTGATTCTCTCTTTTGGCGTCTTAAACCCGCTGGATGCTTGGCTTCCCGCAACGTAGGACCCAGTAGGCAGAGCTTTATAAAAAAGACCCGTCTCGTCAGCGTTATAAATATCTTCTAACGCATACTTTTGTAATAAAAATGGGAGCACATTTTGCTTAAATTGTTCAGCCGATTGACTATCCGCGTAAGCAGCTTCACCATGATGTTTTCTAAAATGTATATTTTCGTTTTTCTTCCACCTTTGGAGCCAGCCCGGACAAGGTTTAAAATCAGGTATACCCAATTTTATAGCAAACTGCTGTGCTTTTTCAAAAATCACTGGACCAATTACTTGGGCGTTGGTCTCCATCATTTGGTTGAACCACATCGACATTGATTTATTAAGCGTTTCATATTTTGAATTTCTGGCTCTTTTTTGTTCCAAGTTTCTACAAATGTAACTTTTCTGGTTAATTTCCTCTGACTTCTTCAAACTTTTTGAAAGAGTGCTGCTTGCGATATTAAACTTTTTTGTTATTTCGCTCCGGCTTTTGCCACTTTTCATTTCTTCCCATATTTTAATTTTTGTTTTTAGGGACAAAGTATTTCTTTTTAATTTTTCCATTTTTCTTATTGAATTTAAAAATATTTAGAAAATTATGCAAAACAGCTGTTTTCCAAATGTCACAATATCAGCGTTGCCACGTATAGGTTTCATTGCTTTCTAGGAAAAGTATTGTCAGCATAACATTTTACAATTTTTTCTATTAAGAGGTTTTTTTATAGGAGTAGAGAAGTTTTCGTGATGAAAAAATTTGTCTTTTATCCGGTTTTTTTCTTATAAGCGGTCCTCTTTTAATGGTTCACGGTGTTTTTAATTTGTTTTTTATAAACGATATTTTCTTATAAGCGGGTTTCTTATATGCGAAGTGCACTGTATAATGCACCAATACATTTCACAAATGTTCCATCTGTAAATGGTTGAAATCTTACCCTACCTTTTCATGCCCCCAGATACATGATATTGTAGCCCCAATCCCCATTGCTGATCTTTCACGGAAAAATCGATCTGAAATATCTTAATGAAATTTGGAGCGTATCTTTTCATTATGCTTTATATAAAATTGGTTTACTACTTCTGCTAGACTCCATATACATAATATACTAGTGAAAATTTAAATTTTAGCTTAGCCCTGAGCAGACCTGTTGATCACCTTATTGCAACTCTACAAGACCCGGGTCTTATACAACCAAGTGTTAGATTTTCGTCAAGGGCTTTCAGCTATTATCTTCTAAAGCGTGTATTATACTTAAGTTTTTTTGTGTCATGGTGATTAACAAAACCAAACTTAATCGCTCTTCTGGTCAAATTTATTGAGAATACACACTCACCAACGGTTCTAAAAGGGTCCCAATCTACAACAGGGAGCATTGCAAATTTTACTGTTATTATAATATAATAAATGTATGTATTAAAAGGTTTCTTCTTAGCTTAGCTCGGGATTATTGAGATTATTTTAAAGTTTTTTGATTATTCATATCTATGAAGCTTAGATGGTCGGTCTTCTAAATGTTTAATGCGATTTAAATTTTTCTATATTTAATTGAAAATATTTCAGATAATTCTTTATAGACCAGTGCAGAAGACTTTGAAAAGGCAGAAAACCCTGGTAAAAAGTAAAAGAAGTTTATAGTAGGTTGAAACCCATTAGAAAAAAAATTACAAAAATTAAAGGAAAACTAATTTTCGGGCAATCTGAGGTCGCGAAGAGAAAGGGAAGGAGCGTGAGTGAATTTTTAAGTGTTAAGTGAAAAATTCAAATATCCACATTTTTGGTTTTATTTTTATCTTGTACAAAAAAGATTTTCTTAAAGAAATTACGTCTTTTTTTGCGTCAAACACTCACCTAAAGCCAACTAATTTTCAATAAAAAATTCTCATATAAAAATTATAAACATTACTGCGGTAAATTTGCTCAGAAAATGCAAAAAAAAAACCACTGCACGTGCGACGCGCTTGGTGCTCGTTCGGATTCAATTCTTGCACGAGTTGTTTTTTTTTTAAGCCCGCAAATCAAAATTCTTCCGCAAAATATGCCATAAAATAGATGGGCACTGTTACAATTGTAGCGCGCGTTGGCTGATGGACTCTTTCGGGACTTCTTCGATACTTTGCTCCACAGCAGCAATAGCGTCTTTGGTGCGCACTGTACGGCGTCTCTAAAGGTGCGCATAATCCATTGGTGTAATCGTCTAAACGATCCATGGTTGCGCGAATTACCGACTGTGCTGGGCGCTTATGTCGGGCGAATATTGGACGATGCACGCGATGTGTCGCGCGAATATAACATTATATTGGTAACAAATTTGCACGATCTGCAAATATTGTTCCAGAGTAAGTCTGTTCATTATAAAATGGTAAGCCTAACTGAGTATAAATCCGCTAACAGCTGTCAAAATGAACAGCTCCGAAAAACACCCGTAATGTCATATTCATATCATAACTACGATTATAATATAATACATATGTTTTTTTTTTTCATTTGATATCAATAAGCTAAAATTTATAAATCATATATCTAACAAAAATGTAAAATGACTAGGATATTACTTTAAACAATTGGCATAATTTCTGAATGAAAGTTTAAGTTTAGCAGTACAAATGTATCGTAAACGTAGGTATCTAAATTTGAACATTTGGTCGAATGATACTAATGAAGCAAATTTACTTCGGTACAAAATTAGTCTTAAAAAATACCAGATAAAATTTAAAACTTTCATTATCAAAGCGTAATTCTAATTTTTTGTATATGTTTCATTTACACTTACCTCATCTGCAACACTATTTGCTTTTATTTGTAATTCTTCCAATTCGGTCTTGGGCACTTGAGGAGCAAGCCCTTCGTTTGAGGGGTCAACAGACGGCATTCTACAAGTAAACAAATAAGCACAATTGTTAATAAGCGCAAATCAAAAGATGAAATATAGACAAGGCAGGGCTAATTTCTATTGAAACCGATTTTTTATACTCCTTCGTGTTGCAAGGCTCAAAAGCGGGGAAATACGGCATTAAGGCAACCGGACGTTTGATATTCTAATATAAGATATATGGGGCTAGGAATAGTTTTAACTCGATTTTATAAATTTTTGGCATCAATAATATTACCAGTTAAATATAGATGATATATTTGGCGTTAAGCCTACTAGAATAATGAAAAATATTATATGGTGGCTGGAGTATTTATTGGGGAAGTGCTAGCCCGATTTTAAATAAGTTTTGGGACCAGACAAAATACAATCAGTAGAATGTTTTCTCTGAACTGATTAAGATATTTCACATATTGACCGATATTTCCGGTAAAGAGTCAGCCAGAAGAACTGAAGCCCAAAAATTCGGTATCGGAGGGCTTGATAAGTTATGGTCCGATTTCAACCATTTTCGGCACCTAATTACATTATATCTGAGAAAATATCTTCCTTTACGAGGTTTGTTGAAAAAGTTTTGGCGAATTTTGAAATTTCGCGGGCTACGGGTATTCGATTTTCGATTGGTTTGTTACGTTGTTGGTACTTATGTTGACAAGGTCGGCCATTTTGAATGTTTAGTTATTTTTAGACAGTTGTTTTGCTTGGTTGCGTTTTGGTCCGTCTTCGATTTTTCCTAACCCAAAAAATGGACCAAAGAACTGGTATAAAATTTTGGTGGAAAAATCAAATTCAGTGGCATTAAGTTGATCAAGTAAAAAAGTTGATAGTGGCATATCGTGAAGCTACCTTGGACAAAAACAACGTTTATCGGTGGTACAAAATGTCTTCAGCGGCTCGATTAGACGTGAATTATGAAGAGCGTGCCGGACGCGCGAGCACGCCAACAACAGACGAAAACATTAATGAAGTGAAGAAAATAGTATTGGCCAATCGTCGAATCACCATTAGAGAAATTGCTTAGGAACTAAACATATCGATTGGCTCGTGCCATTCCATAAATTCTTTAGACCAACGTTTAAAAAAACTGAGGACAGCTTTTGCTTTCAAGACTATGGTATCAATATGAAGACAAAAATTAGCTTAGTTCCATATTAACTCCCAAATCAACATAGTTAAAAACTTGCTCCGAATGTGGTGTTTTATTACATAAGAAGAGGGGTGCACAGATCTACGGGATAAGCACATCGTCTTACATTTATTCAGATTCAATGGCAAATAATTTTATCACACATGCAACCATATTGTTTAAGTCTGTTTGCACAGACACCTTTCCTCAGTTGAGTGTATGATTTAAAAGCTTTACGTCGTCAGCGTATAACAAAATTTTGAGAATTCAATTACTGAAGAGATATCGTTAATAAACAACAACAACAGAATCGGCCAAGATGACTACCTTGCGGGACACCTGAGAAACATTAATTGTATCTGAAGGTGTATCCTCAAATACAAAATACACTCGTTGTGTCTATATAAAGATAGGAAGCTACCCATTGAAAAATCTTGGCTGAAGCTCAGCAGATCAAGTTTATGTATGAAAATCGAGAGGTTTACTTTATCAAGCTTTGCTAAAGTCTTGTATATAACATCGGTATGCTTATATTCCCTAAAACCCAATGACACATGGTTTACAAATTCAAGCAGATTTGTTAGAGTCGATTTCCCTTTACGAAATCCATGCTGAGATAAGGAAATTATCGGAGAAATCGAAAAGGTTATATGGTCAGTGATGATAGCTTCAAAAAGTTTAGGTATAACTGATAGTTTTGCGATACCTCTATAGAATTCAATTACTGAAGAGATATCGTTAATAAACAACAACAACAGAATCGGGCCAAGATGACTACCTTGCGGGACACCTGAAGAAACATTAATTGTATCTGAAGGTGTATCCTCAAATACAAATACACTCGTTGTGTTCATTATAAAGATAGAAGCACCCATTGAAAAATCTTGGCTGAAAGCTCAGCAGATCAAGTTTATGTATGAAAATCGAGAGGTTTACTTATCGAGCTTTGCTAAAGTCTGTGTATATAACATCGGTATGCTTATATTCCTAAAACCAATGACACATGGTTTACAAATTCAAGCAGATTTGTTAGAGTCGATTTCCTTTACGAAATCCATGCTGATAAGAAATTATCGGAGAATCGAAAAGGTTATATGGTCAGTGATGATAGCTTCAAAAGTTTAGGTATAACTGATAGTTTGCGATACCTCTATATTTTCAATGTTGGATCTCAATACACTTTTATGCAAAGGATTATAAATAACTGTTTCCATATTGAAGGAAATATACCGTGTTTAAGAGAGGAATTAAATATCCTTGTCAAAGGCAAGTAATATATTTGGCACTATTTTTAGAAGCATGAGGTATCATGTCTGGGCCGTAACTAAAGATGTTTTAACTATTTAAATTAAGTAGGACGTCTTCTTCAGCATAATTGGAGCATTAATTAAGTATTCGAACACGCACGTGCTGATAAGAAAAGTTTTGGAAGAATTATTACAGTGGTTTGACTTGAAAAATTCTGCAAACATATTGAATATAATAACATTGTCAGTTGAAATGATAGATTTGTATTTCATCGCGGACGGAAATTTGGAAATCTGCGTTAGGAGTTGACGAAATCATAAAACGGCTTTGGATTACTTACAACATTCTTTTTTACTTTATTTAAGTAATTATTATAACATTTTTTGTTTAGGTCAAAATATTGTCGTATAGTCGACAAGTGAACCGGTTTTTTTAATATGTTTAAAGGCTCGAGTTTTTCTGTTTTTCAATTTATGTAACTCTTTCGAAAACTACATACTTGTACTTGTACTTTTATTAACAATTACTATCGGAACATACTTTTCAAATAATTTCGTAATAATGTTATTAAAATGAGAGACACTCAATTCAATATCACCATTATAATTAGGCCATGATATTGTAGAAAGTTCTGTATTTAACATTTTAAAATTTGCTTTTGCAAAGTTGAACCGAGTACCGAAGCACGAAGCTCATGATTTCAACAGATATTTCCAAAGCAGGATGATACGAGTCCTCTGGTAGAACAAGAGGATTACTCTGAATAACGGAACACTTTGAAGAAGTATCAACGTATACTAAATCTAAGCATTTACCAAATTTATTCGGAATCAAATTAATTTGGTTCAGACCCAACTCGGACATTTGTTCGAAAAACTGATGAAAACATGACCGATTGCAAATCGGTACGATGTAGTCATCGAAAGCTTTCCACGAAGCACACGGTAAATTGAAATCTCCTAATACGATTATTGAATCTGCATTATTTGCCATCGAAGTAGCACTATTTATTAAAGAAGCATGCTGCATGTATACATATAAGTCAGAATGGGGTGGTATATAAGACAGGGTTAAATAAATAAAGCAACTATTAACATAGACTCTAATACATTTGAATTGAAATGAGTCGGTTCCTGGAACAAGAACATCTTCAGATGGGATAGAGGAATGCACGGCAAATAGAAAACCTCGACCGATTCTGTTCAGTCGATCATATCTAAATACTTGAAATTCGCTGTTTAAAATCTCATTATCAAAATCTGAGGTTTTAACCATGTGTCTGTAAATCCAATTATATGAAAATTAAAATTGGAACTGTTTAAATACAAGTCGGTTAATTTTGTATTAAGACCTCTAACATTTTGCTTATCGAATTTTTACCAATCAGTTTTTTATATCGGTGGTTGCTTTTGGTAATTTAACAATGTTTTCCTTAGTTCGACTTCTAAGTTTAGGCTTTAATTCGCGTACAAAAGCCCTAGGTGGCCAGAATGAACTATCTAAGATATTTTTTAATGTTTCAAGAGATACGTCTATCTATATATATATTTAGGGTTGGTTACTTTGAGGGAACAAAATAGATATTCATGAATAAATAAACACTTTCTTAAGAAATACAAAATTCGAAATAGTTTTTGAACAAACCTAGATTTGCAAAGATATCGTATATAGTGACCGATAAATACGGTACACGGCCAAAAGAAAATAATAATATCTCTATATTAAAGTTTTAATAAATACTAAACGGATTTTATCCAGTTTTGGACTCGGCCTCAAAAATACCTAAAAATATACTCTCTGAATTGTATTACTATATTTCACAGGCTAACCGCTATTTTCGATATAAACTATTCCGATATTCATTGGTGTTTGATTTATATATTGGGTTGGCAACTAAGTAATTGCGACAATTTTTTCATGGAACTAAATAACTTTATTCTGTAATGTATTGCCCATTTTGATCAATGACCTTTTGCCATCTTTCAGGCAGCATCATAATCCCACGTTCATAAAACTTCGGTTTTTATTAGCAAAAAACTGAATCATCTAATGGAATTTATATTGTGTTATATGAGAAGTAGAATAAAGATATCTCGGTATTGGTATGAGCCACAGTAGGTAGCAATTGTCCATTTTGTACCTTTCCTTACAATCTTTGCTGTAAAATTTAATGCTTCTGTAGTTTTTATTTAGCGGATTAATCACTTTTAATGTTTAACAGTATAGCCTTTGTATAAGGGGTGGGCGCTGTTATTATCCAATGTCATTTACTTTCAAATTGTAAGGATATTGGGATTAAAAATTAAATTTTTTAATCCAAGATGTTTGGGATTAAAAATTGATAATGTTTTTTTTTGATTGGAATGAACGCGAAGAAATTTTAATTCTGAAACAGTTTCTTTTTTAATTCTTAATTATTTGCTTGTAATCAAAATGTTTCTTTTTTATTTTCCAATCCAGCAGTTGGGATTAAAAATAAATTTTTAATTCGGTTTTTGGGATAAACAATTTTTTTTGTAATCCGGTATGCGAAATTAAATTTGTTTTTTATATTTTAATCCCGTATTTA